CCACAAGTGTCAGTGCCAGACACCACAAATGTCAGTGCCAGACACCACAAATGTCAACCCCAGACACCACAAATGTCAATGCCAGATACCACAAATGTCAACGCCAGATACCACAAATGTCAACGTCAGATACCACAAATGTCAGTACCAGACACCACAAATGTCAGTGCCAGACACCACAAATGTTAGTGCCAGACACCACAAATGTCAGTGCCAGATACCACAAATGTCAGTGCCATACACCACAAATGTCAGTGCCATACACCACAAATGTCAATGCCAGATACCACAAATGTCAGTGCTATACATCACAAATGTCAACACCAGATACCACAAATGTCAGTGCCAGACACCACAAATGTCAACGCCAGATACCTCAAATGTCAACGCCAGATACCACAAATCTCAATGCCAGACACCACAAATGTCAGTGCCAGACAAAACAAATGTCAGTGCCACACACCACAAGTGTCAGTGCCAGATACCACAAATGTCAGTGCCATACACCACAAATGTCAGTCCCAGATACCACAAATGTCAGTGCCATACACCACAAATGTCAGTCCCAGATACCACAAATGTCAGTGCCATACACCACAAATGTCAATGCCAGACACCACAAATGTCAGTCCCAGATACCACAAGAGTCAGTGCCATACACCACAAATGTCAATGCAAGATACCACAAATGTCAACACCAGACACCACAAATGTCAACGCCAGATACCAAAAATGTCAGTGCCGGACACCACAAATGTCAGTGCCGAGCACCACAAATGCCAGTGCCAGATACCACAAATGTCAGTGCCATACACCACAAATGTCAATGCCAGATACCACAAATGTTAGTGCCAGACACCACAAATGTCAGTGCCAGACACCACAAATGTCAGTGCCAGATTCCACAAGAGTCAGTGCCATACACCACAAATGTCAATGCCAGATACCACAAATGTCAGAGCCAGACACCACAAATGTCAGTGCCAGATACCACAAATGTCAGTGCCAGATACCACAAATATCAGTGCCATACACCACAAATGTCAATGCAAGATACCACAAATGTCAACGCCAGACACAACAAATGTCAACGCCAGATACCAAAAATGTCAGTGCCGGACACCACAAATGTCAGTGCCGGACACCACAAATGTCAGTGCCAGATACCACAAATGTCAGTGCCAGACACCACAAGTGTCAGTGCCAGACACCAAAAATGTCAGTTCCAGATACCACAAATGTCAGTGCCATACACCACAAATGTCAATGCCAGATACCACAAATGTCAGTGCCAGACACCACAAATGTCAGTGCCAGACACCACAAATGTCAGTGCCAAACACCACAAATGTTAGTTCAAGATACCAAAAGAGTCAGTGCCATACACCGCAAATGTCAATGCCAGATACCACAAATGTCAGTGCCAGACACCACAAATGTCAATGCCAGATACCACAAATGTCAGTCCAAGATACCACAAATGTCAGTGCCAAACACCACAAATGTCAGTGCCAAACACCACAAATGTCAGTCCCAGATACCACAAATGTCAGTGCCATACACCACAATTGTCAGTGCCATACACCACAATTGTCAGTGCCAG